CCCCCGCACATTGACTCTGCACCGGTACCCCCCTGTACATATAGCCTCCCTACTGTTATTTTATTTTACTTCTGCTCTTTTTTTCTCAACACTTTTTTGTTGTTGTTTTATTTTACTTTTTTATTAAAAATAAATGCACTGTTGGTTAAGGGCTGTAAGTAAGCATTTCACTGTAATGTCTGCACCTGTTGTATTCGGTGCATGTGGCCAATAAAATTTGATTTGATTTGATTTGACATCATCTCAAGCTGTGGTCATCTGCTGCAATAGCCCATTCGTGACAAGGATCAACGAGTTGTGCATTCCGAGATGCCGTTCTGCACACCACTGTTGTAATGCTCCGTTATTTGTCTGTTTGTGGTCTGCCTGTTAGCTTGCATGATTCTTGCCATTCTCCTTCTACCTCTCTCATCAACAAGCTGTTTTCAACCACAGGACTGCTGACTGGATGCTTTTTTGTTTGTCGCACCATTCTCTGTAAACCCAAGACACTGTCGTGTGTGAAAAGCCTGGAGGGCTGCCGTTTCTGAGATACTGGATCCGGCGTGCCTAGCACCAACAATCATACCAAGGTCAACGTCGCTTAGGTCACTCGTTTTGCCCATTCTAACATTCAATTAAACAGTAACTGAATGCCTTGACGTATATCTGCCTGTTTTATATAGCAAGCCACGATCTCGTGATTCACTGTCTATGGGAGCGATCCAATTTCGTGAACGGGGTGAGTGTATCTCTCTATCATGCATGGGAATACTTTGGAACAGATTTCCAACATTAAAATCACTTCGAGCTGATTTACTGGTGTTTTTAAAGACTTTTATGTCCAACAGTAAAAATAAATATACATATATATTTTTGGGGGCCAAATAAAATCCTGTGGGCCACCAGTTGGGGAACCCTGGCCTACATGTTAACTCTGTAGTGCTGAATGGACAGCAGCACTATTCTCATGTTCATTCAACAGTAGCCTAACCCACAAACAAACAAAAACAAAAAATATCTGCCTACCTTTACTTGTAAATTAAGTCCATTCGTCTCTCCTTCAGGGTGAACCGCTTGGTGACAGCGTTGTAAAAGTCTTCTTTATTCCTTTTGAGTTTAAAAAGTCTCTCAGCCTCAATTGGCATGAGGGACAAGGATGACAGCCATCCTTCTCCGATCCTAGTCCGTCTGTAGGTTTTGATTTGCTTTAAAGCGGAGAACGACCTCTCCGCTGAGGCCGTTGTGGCTGACAGTAATTCCCTCATTAAAATGCAAATCAATTTATAACATTTTTGACATGCGTTTTTCTGGATCTTTTTGTTGTTATTCTGTCTCTCACTGTTCAAATAAACCTACCATTAAAATTAGACTGACCATGTCTTTGTCAGTGGGCAAACGTACAAAATCAGCAGGGGATCAAACACTTTTTTCCCCTCACTGTAAGAGTCAGGATAATTCTGAAACTTCCACCTCATATTCTTCTTGAACCCTCTCACTTTGATGAACTGCAAAGGCTCAAGGTGGAAACAAGAATCACCCAGTTTAAGTTGGGGCTTGCCAACAACATTATTTCAGCCATATAAATGACACCAATCAGTATTCCACCAGAGGGAACTCTATTAACGTTGTTCCCTGTAGATCCATGGGAAAACACAATTTCCTGTATTCTGCTGCAGTTCTGTGGAACAGTTTACCAAGCTACCTGAAAACTCTGTCATCATAGAGTTGCTTTAAGGTGTCACTAAAAGCATACCTGAGAAATAACATGTCAGTTTGATTTGGGGTATTCTTTCACGAGGTGACTCAAACGGGACCTCTATGCTGTTGATATTGTTCTAAATTGTTTTAAATGGATATTGTTCTAAATTGTTGTAAATGGCTACTGTTGTTAAGTGTCAGTCTTGCCCACCTGCCATCTCACTGCCAGAAGACCCCAATGGAAATAAGACTCCGGGCTTTATTGTGTTTTTATCCTCGATAATGTTTTAATGTATGTAATGTTGTCTCTGGCTGGATTAGCTTAATTATCTAATACATTCATTCAATACATCAATCAATATGTTCTCTCCATTCGAGTTTCTAATCAATAAGCACTCTCCGCTACAGTAGGTCTACTAATGACTCCACAACAGTGGAGGCTGCTGAGGGGAGGACGGCTCATAGTAATGGCTGGAACGGAGTCAATGGAATGGTATCAAACATGTGGTTTCCATGTGGTTGATACCATTCCATTGACTCCATTCCAGCCATTACTATGAGCCGTCCTCCCCTCAGCAGCCTCCACTGCTCGTCAACCTCTATCTCCTCTCTATTACAGGTTTTCATAGGTTTGATTGTCTCTTTCATCATTCTGAAGGCTGAAGTCCTTTGAGTTCTGCATCTGAAAATGTGAGATGACGGTGAAATCAGTGATTTGATGACACAGTTTAATCTTAGGTATTGGTGACACACACCTGTGCTGTGCTGTAGCCCTCATTGATAAACCTATGGTAACATTATGGGTGAGGTGCTTGCTGTGTTCTAACCTGTGGTGTTGAAATTCTCCTTCTCCTCCCAATACAGCAGGCTACCAACATCACTGCTAGGAGGACGACACCAGCTGACCCTGACCCTAAAATGAGCACCATGGGTAGACATAGTCCTGGGTAGAAGAGAGGTAACATGGTGTAAAGGTTATGAGCATTAATGGTAATACACTCAACACAACATGTATTATAGTTGATGAGGACCCCTGACAGAATTCAGACCACGGTTACCAAGCAACAACACTAATCTACTGAAAGTGGCAACTGCAGAAGCACATACACTACCGGTCAAAAGTTTTAGAACACCTACTCATTCAAGGGTCTTTCTTTATTTTTACTAATGGAAGTGAGTTGGATGCTGAATCAAAATGTTATATAGGGTATATCCTGTAGCTCAGTTGGTAGAGCATGGCGCTTGCAACGCCAGGGTTGTGGGTTCGATTCCCACAGGGGGCCAGTATGAAAAATGTATGCACTCACTAACTGTAAGTCGCTCTGGATAAGAGTGTCTGCTAAATGACTAAAATGTAAAAAAATGTAAATGTAATACTATTTTCTACATTGTAGAAAAATAGTGAAGACATCAAAACTATGAAATAACACAATCATGTAGTAACCAAAAAAGTGTTAAAGAAATCAAAATAAATTTTAAATTTGAGTTTCTTCAAATAGCCACCCTTTGCTTTGATGACAGCTTTGCACATTCTTGCATTCTCTCAACCAGCTTCATGAGGTAGTCACCTGGAATGCATTTCAATAAACAGGTGTGCCTTGTTAAAAGTTAATTTGTGGAATTTCTTTACTTCTTAATGTGTGGGAGCCAATCAATTGTGTTGTGTTGTGACAGAAGACAGCCCTATTTGATAAAATACCAAGTCCATATTATGGCAAGAACAGTTCAAATAAGCAAAGGGAAATGATAGTCCATCATTACTTTAAGACATGAAGGTCAGTCAATACGGAAAATATCAAGAACTTTGAACGTTTCTTTAAGTGCAGTCGCAAAAACCATCAAGCACTATGATGAAACTGGCTCTCATGAGGACCGCCACATCAATGGGCGACCCAGAGTTACCTCTGCTGCATAGGATACGTTCATTAGAGTTACCAGCCTCAGAAATTGCAGCCCAAATAAATGCTTCACAGAGTTCCAGTAACAGACACATCTCAACATCGACTGTTCAGAGGAGACTGTGTGAATCAGGCCTTCATGGTTGAATTGCTGCAAAGAAACAACTACTAAAAGGACACCAATAAGAAGAAGAGACTTGCTTGGGCCAAGATACACGAGCAATGGACATTAGACCGGTGGAAATTTGTCCTTTGGTCTGGAGTCCAAATTTGAGATTTTTGGTTCCAACCGCAGTGGCTTTGAGAGACGCGGTGTGGGTGAACGGATGATCTCCGTATGTGTATTTCCCACCATAAAGCATGGAGGGGGAGGTATTATGGTGTGGGGGTGCTTTGCTGGTGACGCTGTATGTGATTTATTTAGAATTCAAGGCACACTTAACCAGCATGGCTACCACAGAATTCTGCAGCGATACGCCATCCCATCTGGTTTGGGCTTAGTGGGACTATCATTTGTTTTTCAACAGCACAATGACCCAACACACCTCCAGGCTGTGTAAGGACTATTTTACCAAGAATAAGAGTAATGGAGTGCTGCATCAGATGACCTGGCCTCCACAATCCCCCGACCTCAACCAAATTGAGATGGTTTGGGATGAGTTGGACCGCAGAGTGAAGGAAAAGCAGCCAACAAGTGCTCAGCATATGTGGGAACTCCTTCAAGACTGTTGTAAAAGCATTCCAGGTGAAGCTGGTTGAGAGAATGCCAAGCGTGTGCAAAGCTGCCATCAAGGCAAAGGGTGGCTATTTGAAGAATCTCAAATATAAAATATATATGTTTAACACTTTTTTGGTTACTACATGATTCCATATGTATTATTTCATAGTTTTGATGTCTTCACTATTATTCTACAATGTAGAAAATAGTAAAAATAAAGAAAATCCCTTGAATGAGTAGGTGTTCTAATAACTTCTGAACGGTAGTGTACAGTACATACATACAAGGCTTACAACTTCCTTTATGAGAACATCTCCCTAATTCTACAATCCCAAACTGGTGTAAATTATTATTTAAATGAAATGCAGTAATCATTGTTTGCATTCAATGATTCCATGACTTTTAAGCCGCTTGTACACATAGGACTACATGTGCAGAACCTTAAATGTTAAGGGTTGCCACACATGCTGTGTCTAAGTATATTGTAACCACCTATATTACACAATTTGCTTCAATCTGACTGTATTTCCAAACATTTAAGGAAACGGTTACTAGGTCTAAGGAAGTAGTCACTACCGGTGTAACTGATGTGTTTTCGGTTTTATTGGGCAGTATGGCTACTTTGTTCTGCTTCCACCTTATTCCATTTGTTTTGTATTTGGTCATTTAGATAGATAGGGTATGAATGAAATTGTCTTATGATGTTACTTGCCTTCAATGTCCAGTTGTACTCGTCTGGTTCCCAAACGTGCCCCTCCGGAATTGTAGATCTCCAAGAAGTATTTCCCAGAATCAGCCCTCTCTACGTTGGTTAACCTAAAGGTCCCGTTATTCATAAAGAACTTTAATCTGCCTTCAGTGGGTCTCTTGAAGGTCACCTTGTTTCTTTTCAGTGAGAATATCAGTGTGGGACCAGCGGTGAGGTTCTTTTTAAACAGCAGTTCACATCCACTAGCATTGGTCAGCAGCTGGAGATCCAGAGTTCCACACAGAGCCACAGAACACTGGGATGAGTTCTGAGTAGCAGTACAGGTGGTCATGTCTGTAGCTGAGAGAGACAGAGCGAGAGGGAGAGAGAGAGAACAATGTTATGATAATATTTTCTGTAAATTTTTGATAGAATTGAGTGTTTTGCCATGAAGGCAGTGGGATGCACAACAATAAGTTGAAATTACACTGTGGCAATGAGCAACGGTGGCACTGATCTAATGCATGATGCAGTATGTGCATTCAACTCAATAACCATTTATATCTCAACAAAACACTAAAAACATGTAGAAAATGCAGAAATATATAATACATCTTACCATGAGCCACTGCTGCTAACACCACCAACACTAGTACAAACACAGCCTCCATGTCTCTTCACACAACAATCTTCTAACTCCAGTTACTGTAAAACCTTGAACCGTGTTTAGATAATCTCATTAAATAAGAGTTAAGTGATCCTTAAAGCCAGAAACGTATTGATTATTGATTAACCTAGTTGTCAGACGAAGTAGTGATGAGGTGTGAGAGTCAGGAAACCAAGTGATGGTGTTGCCTCTGAGCTAGGGAGTTGTTGAACACAAGGGTCATCTCTCACTTCTACATTCCACTGACAAAGTCTGCCATGCCGATATCATACTGCTCTCAAATGAAAAATATACTTATGCACACAGTTCAACAAAAAAAAAAAACACTGATATGTTTCTTTCTCAACCCAATCTCCAAATAAAATGGCAAACCGTGGCGTAACTGCAGTAACAGAATTATGCCATGGCTTAACGTTTTAATTAAGCTATGTGGTGTCGTATCTTAGCTGTCAGTCAAACTCTACAAAGGTGAAACTAAAATTAATTTTAGGTATTAATTCCGAGTGGTTAAATTCAGGATTAAGGTTTGGGAAAGGCTTAAAACTTTTTTTTTAAACACTAACATTTAGTGCCTACGACTGAACACGCGACCGTCGGAGCTGGAGTGTGCGGTTTAAACGCCGATCCACCATCCCTCATTCACAATGCCTTAGCAAGCCGCAAGCCTACTAGAAGGTAATGCGCGCTCACATTGCCCCTAGTGCATGTAATAGTTTCCACAATTCGCCAGATCCAACCATAATCTGGTACCTTCAGAATAGACACCTCCTGACATATTCCATAAGACTCGGTATAGGTTAGAGTGGGTTCTCTTTACTTCTAATCGACTGGAATTTTTAAAAGAGAAGTGAGTGAAGAGGCTACAGGAGATATAGTATGGTGGCATAAAAACTGAGCTTTTCCTAACTTCCATCAGAGGGCAATGTTACCTCAATCATCACATTGATGTGTCCAGACTACAAAGTTCAATGTGTTGAGATGAGGGGGCATTGGTCTGACCTACTGGATCAACCTCAGAAAAGGCATTTGAAGAAGAGTGGAAATCTTGGACTTTTTCATATTTATTACTATTCCTATTTAGTCACTCTCAAGAGATTATCCAACAGAAACAGAAAAGTATACAGTATCTATGACATAACCCATGTTTGAATGGGGTATCTTGAATATCAACAACTATCCTACAGTATAATGGAGAAAGGGTAAATCATCCATAGGTCTATGTGGTGCTGATTCTTCATTTTATCAGCAGAAAACATACAGCAACAGCAAGAGCTACTGTCACAGGTGTGTGTAGTTGGACTCAACTCAAACTCTTCTTAGCTCTGCCCAGAGTACAGAATGTGATTCCATAGTCAACCTTATTCTGATCACAAATGAGATAGCCACTGTTTATAAAAGAAGACTTACAGAAACATAAAGCTTGTGTAAACAAGTAATTGCTTTAAAAGTCTGGTTCCACATCATCCCTATAGGGAGGTTTAAGACTAAAGCAGCTCCTATATCCGGTTGGACATGATTCTAGTGTTAAATCTCCTGAAGAAGGATTTGGTTTTGGACAGCTTGTACTTCTTCCCATCCTTGGTCTTTTTGTGGTAAACCCCGTTCCAGTGGTCCTCCTCCTCGTCCCCCACCCACGGTCCCCACGCACCCCCGTTCAGGTCCGGGTCGCCCCTGGGGTCCTCAGAGGGGTACCGCACCGGGACAGAGGTCCGGTTGTAGAATACCAACCGTGCCAGGAGCTCTTTGACCACATCCGGTCGCTGCTCGGCCAGGTCGTAGCGTTCATACGGGTCTCCGCTGATGTTAAAGAGCCATACTGACTTCTGAGGTTCCAGGTGGCGTTCCAGGTTCCACCAGCCGGCGGGAAAGCCGGGGAGCATCTGGGGCGGGGTCCAGTCTCCGTATCCGGGGTCTCCGGTCAGGAGCTTCCAGTCGCCTGCCCGGATGGAGGCCTGGATGGCTGTGTTCCAGATGCCATAGCCACTCTGCAGGGAGCCGCTCCGGGCCGGGTTGTAGAGAGGGTCGATGTTATGGAGGATCTCCAGTCGGGGGGACTCCTTCTCCTCACTGATGGCCCCCCACACGTCATACCCATCTAGCCCCTCGGTCAGTGACGCGTTTCCCCCAGCCAGCCCAACCAGCGTGGGGTACCAGTCGGTGATGTGCACCAGGGCCTTACTCACCCTCCTCTTGCGCCTCAGCAGGGGGCTATGGACGAAGCCCAGTCCCCTGACGCCCCCCTCCCAGTAGGTGCCCTTACGCCCCCTCAGAGGCCAGTTGCTGCCCCCGGAGAAGGGCTGGCCTCCGTTGTCGGTGGAGAATATGATGACACTGTTCTGGTAGTAGCCGTACTTGCGGAGGGCATAGGTCACATTCCTCACCGCCTCGTCTACAGCCGACACCATGGCTGCATATTTCCTCCTGGCCACGTTGCCCAGGCCGCGATATGGGTAGATGTACTCCCGCGGGGACTGGAGAGGTGTGTGCACCGCCTGGAAGGAGAGGTATATAAACAGAGGCTGGGCCTGAGGGTCGTGGGCAGCTAAGATCTTCCTCACCCTCTGGGTGTACAGTTGGGTGGAGTACTTCCCCCCCTGACCCCATGCCACCGTCTCCCCCTCGTGGAGGTCAAAACCACACATCCCTGGGCCGTCACACGACTTGTAGGTGTAGTAATCCACGCTGCCTGTCAAAGAGCCGAAGTAGGAGTCGAAACCCCGGCGGGTAGGCAGGCACTCCTTCTTGTAGAAGCCCAGGTGCCACTTGCCCACCATATGGGTGGAGTAGCCAGCCTCCTGCAGTCTCTGGGGCAGGGTGACCTGGTCAAAGGGAAGGCAGTTGGGCTGACGGGGTCGGATGATGGAGTGCTGCAGGCCAGTGTGGATCTGATACCTAGGTAGATGGACACAAAGGCATAAAATGTCTGGTCACTCAAGTAATTGACTAATAATGAAAGTAGCCTAAATCAATGTATCAAATATGAATGATCAAAAATCTAAGTAGAAAACAGACAGATATATGGATCAAACAATACTGAGTTTGAACAGGATCCAGTGGCATCATTAGGCCTGGGCTTCTGTATATACAGTGCCTTCAGAAAGTATTCACACCCCTTGACTTTTTCCACATTTTGTTGTGTTTAAATTTAAAATGTATTAAATTGTGGGGGGTTTTGTCACTGGCCTACACACAATCTTAACAAGTCACATAATACATTGCATGGACTCACTATGTGTGCAATAATAGTGTTTAACATGATTTTTGAATGACTACCTCATTTCTGTACCCCACACATACAATTATCTGTAAGGTCCCTCAGTCGAGCAGTGAATTTCAAACACAGATTAAACCACAAAGACCCAGGAGGTTTTCCAATGCCTCGCAAAGAAGGGCACCTATTGGTATATGGCTAAAAATAAGAAAAGCAGACATTGAATATGGGTATGCTTGTAATCGTTAAGGACTGTGGAGTTTTTCAGGATAAAAAATAAATGGAATGGAGCTAAGCACAGGCAAAATCCTAGAGGAAAACCTGGTTCAGTCTGCTTTCCACCAGACACTGGGAGATTAATTCACCTTTCAGCAGGACAATAACCTAAAACACAAGGCCAAATCTACACTGGAGTTGCTTACCAAGAAGACAGTGAATGTTCCTGGCTGAGTTACAGTTTTGACTTAAATCGTCTTGAAAATCTATCGCAAGACCTGAAAATACTGCTCTAATTATGTTGGTAACCATTTTATAATAGCAATAAGGCACCTCGGGGGTTTGTGGTATATGGCCAATATACCACGGCTAAGGGCTGTGTCCAGGCACTCCGCGATGCGTCGTGCATAAGAACAGCCCTTAGCCATGGTATATTGGTCATATACCATACCCCCTCGTGCCTTATTGCTTAACCTCTTTTTTCAATTTTCGCCTAAAATGACATACCCTAATTGAACTGCCTGTAGCTCAGGACCTGAAGCAAGGATATGCATATTCTTGATACCATTTGAAAGGAAACACTTTGAAGTTTGTGGAAATGTGAAATTAATGCAGGAGAATATAACACATTAGATCTGGTAAAAGATAATACCAAAAAAAAAACATGCGTTTTCTATTTTTTTTTTTGTTCCATCGTCTTTCCATCGCAAGAGAAAGGCCACAATATAATATTGCAGTTTAGGTGCAATTTTGATTAAGGTTGGGTTTGTTTCAATCCTGCCCACAGCTGGCAGCTACACGCGACCCGAACTTAATGACTGTAGTAAATTTGGGTTGACTTTGGATATCCCTATGGGGTTAGGGACCATCGGTAAATTACACAATGTACATGGGACAGTATGTTAAAATTCCAATAGCTCCAAATTTCAATGACTTAAAAACCTCAAACCAACTATAAATTGTAGAAATTCTTATACAAATATTTAAAGCATTTAATGAGAATGACAATATTGTCCCATTTACATTGTGTAATTTATTGACGGTCCCTAACTAGCCCCGGAACTAGGCTATCCAAAGTCAATGTCAGGTTACACACCAGCCGGCTGCAGCTAATTGGCTAAATCATATGGCTAACTTTTCCCACCTGTGAACACACATGAGACACCCACATCAAACCACACTCCAAAACCAACTCACATTTGAATTCAGTCATGGCCGCAAGCATTTCTTAATGAACCAAATAAAATGAGGCCAAATCAGGAAGTGCAGTTGCCCTTTAAAACAAACTAATGACATGTTGTACCACTACCGTGCTACCTTGCAGATGAGCCAAGGAAGAGGACAGATGAGAACAGCAGGCCAGTGGAGCACTTAGCACAGCAGCAGCCAGGGGCAACTGGTAGGGAAGAGGATGATTTAGGTGACCCAGACATAGGCCCAAAACAAGTTAAGCTACCCAATTATCCCCTTGACCATTTATGATTGCAAAACTAAAGAGACACACCAGACAAGACACAGAGACAGCAACAGAATAATAGGTGAAGGAGAGAGACACCAGACAAGACACAGAGACAGCAGCAGAAGAGTAGATGATGGAGAGAGACACACCAGACAAGACACAGATACAGCGAAAGAAGAATAGGACATGATGGAACGAGACCAGTGGAGGCTGGTGGGAGGAGTTATAGGTGGACAGGCTCATTGTAATGGCTGGAATATAATAAATGGAACGGAGTCATACATGTGGTCTCCATATCTTTGATGTGTATGATACCGTTACATTTATTCCATTTCAGCCATTACAATTATTCCGTCCTCCTATAGCTCCTCCCACCAGCCTCCACTGAGAGAGACACAGAGACAGCAACAGAAAAATAGGATATGATGGAGACAGACACCAGTAAAACGGAACAGGCCATAACAGAAGAGGATAGACAAAGGAGACAGTAACAAACAAGAACCTGAGGGATTATTTACTGTGGGATTATTGAATCAATTTGGCTCATTGGACAGGTCCGAGTCTATGTTTGAAGTTGTCGAGTGGTATGGAGGTTTTTGGCAATACACTGTAGATGTATGTGTCCCAGAGTAGAGAGTAGAGAGTGTTCTAGAGTAGAGAGACCCACAGTAGCTACTGTAACTGAGTCCTGGCAGTGTCTGCTGTGGCAGGTGGGAAGGTGTAATCTATCTGAAAAATATCTAATCTCTCAGTGTTCTAATCTCTCAATGTTCATCTCAAAGTGCACCAAATTCATGGGGGGCCCCGGACCCCCATAATGCCTTTGGGCTAAGCCACCAATGTCTTGGTTGCTACACATCCATCTATAGGGAATAGATCCTACAGATAAAATACAACAATGCCTAGAAAAAAAGACAAAGACAAAAGCATATGTATGAATAAATCATGAATTAGTTGGCTACAATAAAACAACTCTCTAGGCTACTTCAGATCTGGTGATAAAATATGCACTTACCTGCCGGTGATCAGCTGACTGCGAGATGGCGTGCATATTGGCTGTATGTAATAGTTCTCCAGCTTCACTCCATCCGCGGCCAGTTTATCCAGCGTTGGTGTCTGGATGTCGGAGCCGTGGTAACCGATATCGTTGAATCCCTGGTCGTCCGTCATGATGAAGATGATGTGAGGGGGATGTGGTACCGGCGACCGGTCTCGAAAGTTCGGAACGGACTCGTTCTCCACCTGGTTCGGACTCATCAAGTCCCACGACAGGTAGCCGAGACTAAGCAAACTGACCACGGAGAATCCGGTTAGAGCTGATACTGCCATGGTAACTGCGCGCCTTTAAACGTTTAGGCAATCTATAACTGAAAATATATACCTAATTCGTTGTATAATGTTGTCATAAATGAGAAAAGCATGTTGAAACGATAGGTACAGTATCCCTCTAGCAAAAGTAGCCTACACTTTATAGCCTGCACCTACCAAGCAGGTTTGATCTCTCCTCCTGCTATGATGATGATGCCCACGAACCTTGTACGTAATGATCAGAGATATATACTACTACCATCCCTTTTGCTGACGTCTCTTAAAATGTTTAAGACTCCTTAAAAAACATTCCTCTTTCCCCAGTGGTGGTACTAACCCCACCCGAATGAGTTTGCCCTGGCTCATTAAAATAACCCTCTAATAACAGACCAAGACGACATCTTTTGGATGTATTTTTTAGGTCATTTTTGGTTGATTTCAACGTCCAGGTCTGGACCGGGTTTGATTTGGGCCAAACATAGATGTCTATCTTTGGTTTGGATTTGGTTCGGTCCAAACGGGCCTTGATTTGGCCCAAACATGGAAGTCTATGATTGGTCCGGACCCGATCAAATCTGAACCAATCATAAATTGAATTAAATGGCTTTGTTCTCTCTCTTATCCTGTATCCAGTCCATGGAGGAAGGTTGTATGATCAATTCTCATGTCCTAGGCCTCTGGCCTAGTAAGCATCTCTTTGTTCATGCTTTGTCTTCTAAGTTAACCTTGGGATCTACACTGAACAAAAATATAGTTCATGTACAGTTCATATAAGGAAATCAGTCAATTTAAATAAATAAATTAGACCCTAATCTATGGATTTCACATGACTGGGAATACAGATATGCATCTGTTGGTCACAGATACCTTAAAAAAAAGGTAGGGGCGTGGATCAGAAAACCAGTCAGAGTCTGATGTGACCATTATTTGCCTCATGCAGCGCAACACATATCCTTCGCATAGTTGCTCAGGCTGTTGATTGTGGCCTTTGGAATGTTGTCCCACTCCTCTACAATGGCTGTGCGAAGTTGCTGGATATTGGCGGGAACTGGAACACGGTGACATTTTCAGCTTCCAGTAATTGTGTACAGATCCTTGCGACATGGGGCCGTGCATTATCATGCTGAAACATGAGGTGATGGCGGCAGATGAATGGCACAACAATGGGCCTCAGGATCTCGTCACGGTATCTCTGTGCATTCAAATTGCCATCGATAAAATGCAATTGTGTTCATTGTCCGTAGCATATGACTGGTCTGTGGTTGTGAGGCCGGTTGGACGTACTGCCAAATTCTGTAAAACGACGTTGGAGGCAGTTTATGGTAGAGAAATTAACATAATATTCTGATGGACATTCCTGCAGTCAGCATGCTAATTGCAAGCTCCCTCAAAACTTCAGACATCTGTGTCATTGTGTTGTGTGACAAAACTGCACATTGTAGAGTGCCTTTTTCTTGTCCCCAGCACAATATGCACCTGTGTAATGATCATGCTGTTTAATCAGCTTCTTGATATGCCTCACCTGTCAGGTGGATGGATTATCTTGGCAAAGGAGAAATGCTCACTAACAGGCATATAAACACATTTGTGCACAACATTTGAGAGAAATAAGCTTTTTGTGCGTATGGAAACATTTTGGGATCTTTTATTTCAGCTCATGAAACATGGGACCAACACTGTACATGTTGCGTTTATATTTTTGTTCAGTATATATGCCTAGAAGTATGCTTTGTAAAGCTTGTCAATACTTTGTAACTTAAGCTTTATGCCTTGTATGTGAATCCATTCATTGTACAATGTTAATAAAATATCTGCCTTTGATATAGACAATTCTCAGACCAATTCTATCTAGTCAACGCATTGCCTAATACTTACTTGTATATTTAAATTATCTTTATGGAGTCAGATAACGTAACATTTTAATAGGCTAATTGCTTAGTCTTATTACGAGTCACATGTGAGGTATGTATGATAAACTGTATAGACACATATCAAATATTACTGCACACTACAGATTGCGTTCTTAATTTCACCTATTATTTTTACATATTATTTTACATTATGAAGCTTACACAGGAGGTTGGTGGCACCTTAATTGGGGAGGACGGGCACATGGTAACGGCTGGAGCGGAATAGGTGGAACGGTATCAAAAACATCGAACACATGGTTTCCAGGTGTTTGATGCCATTCCATTTGCTCCGTTCCAGCCATTATTTTGAGCTGTCCTCCCCTCAGCAGCCCCAACTAGAAGCTTACCCTAGTTCCCCAGAACAGCTGAGCCAGTCACGTGTTTGTTTGTAAATAGCACAACTGGAGAAAATGTCACATGTTTGTTTGGAAATAGCACAACGGGAGAAAGCAGGAGCTGGTAAGTCCATAGCGTTCTATATCTATCGGCAAGTCTCGGCGCACGAGGTGATGAAGTTATTCAAGTCACTACTAAATGTTTGCCATCAGATATCTTAAAATGGCTTTCTACCAGAAGACAAACAGCTCTGGATGAGTTATCTGTACAGTTGCCATTTTTTCCCTGTGCATGCAACTTTTTTTTTCTCCTCCTTCCTTCTCCCCTCTGCTCCGTGTTCACATGCTGCTCTTCCTACAGAAAAGCATGCATCACAACTTTGTTCATTTACACAATTTATTTCGTTCACTTTCACTTTTATATGTCCACACTCACTAGCTATGCTATGCTTGTATAACTTTATGAGCTGGATTTGCCTGTCTTTGCAATTAGGTATGTTCGTTTTCGCTCGTTAGCATTTAGCTAACAGCGTCTATGTAATTTTGCTATTAGTTTGTGCAAATGTTGTTAGCATTCTGGTAATAGAGGCCCAATGGGCTTCTCTTGCATTTTTAGCGCCCCCTTGTGTGCTATTCCGGTAATACCATAAATCCCAGGATAAGAGAAGGACGGTATGACGATATGAAAATCTGGATACCGCCCAAGCCTACAGAGTACAGTACATTATAGTACAGCAAAGAAAAGTAGATTATAGTATTGTACAGTACAATACAATACAATGCAGTGGAGCACAGTAAAGTACAGTAAAGTAGAGCAAAGTATAGTTCAGTAGAGTATAGTACTGTATAATGTACTGTATTGTACCCTCATTTTCTCTACTGAACTAAACTGTCCTCTACTCTACTGAATTAAACTGTACTGTACTCTACTGTACTCTACTGTACTAAATTAAACTCTAGATTTGGTCAAAGTCTTTACTTGTTTGGGGGCGGAGCTCATTAGAATGCCACACGCGCCGAATACAACAGGTGTAGACTTTACCATGAAATGCTTACTTACGAGCCCTTTCCCAACAACACAGAGTTAAAAAGTAAGAAAAGTTAGCGAAAAAGAAACAAGGAAATAGTAACACAATAAAAGAACAACAACGAGACTATATACAAGGAGTACAGGTACCGAGTCAATGTGCAGGGGTACGAGGTAATTGAGGTAATATATGTACATGTACTGTACGTAGGGGTAAAAGTGACTAGGCAATCAGGATATAATTAACAGAGTAGCAGCAGCGTATGTGAAGCGTGTGAGTGTGTACATGTGTATGTGGCGTTAATATGCGTGTGTGTGTGTGTGTGTGTGTGTGTGTTATTTGTGTGTGAGCACATATAGTGTGTGTATGTGTGTGTTGGGAGTGTCAGTGTAGTATGTGTGAGTGTGGGGGTAGTGTCCAGTGAGTGTGCATACAGCTGGTGCAAGAGAGTCCGTGCAAATAAAAAGGGGTCAATGAAAATAGTCAGGGTGGCCATTTGAATAACTGTTCAGTAGTCTTATGGCTTGGGGGTAGAAGCTGTTCAGGAGCCTTTTGGTCCCAGACTTGGCGCTCCGGTACCGCTTGCGGTGTGATAGCAGAGAGAACTGTCTATGACTTGGGTGGCTGGAGTCTTTGACAATTTTTAGGGCCTTCCTTTGACACCGCCTGGTATAGAGGTCCTGAATTGCAGGGAGCTCAGCCCCAGTGATGTACTGGGCCGTACGCACTACTCTCTGTAGCGCCTTACGGTCGGATGCCAAGCAGTTGCCATACCAAGCGGTGATGCAGCCAGTCAAGATGCTCTCAATGGTGCAGCGGTATAACTCTTTGAGAATCTGAGGACCCATGCCAAATATTTTCAGCCTCTTGAGGGGGAAGAGGCATTGTCATGCCCTCTTCACGACTGTTTGGTGGGTTTGGACCATGATAGGTCCTTAGTGAAGTGGACACCGAGGAACATATCACAGTCATAGCAAGAAACAAATATTTCTGTAACCGTTACTGAGAATGTTATTGTAGTTGAAGTGGTCTGTCTTCTTTGAACATTATCGCTGCCAGATTTGAAGCTTTTGAAAAAGCTAACATACAGTGGGGGAAAAAAATATTTAGTCAGCCACCAATTGTGCAAGTTCTCCCACTTAAAAAGATGAGAGAGGCCTGTAATTTTCATCATAGGTACACGTCAACTATGACAGACAAATTGAGAAAAAAAATCCAGAAAATCACATTGTAGGATTTTTAATGAATTTATTTGCAAATTATGGTGGAAAATAAGTATTTGGTCACCTACAAACAAGCAAGATTTCTGGCTCTCACAGACCTTTAACTTCTTCTTTAAGAGGCTCCTCTGTCCTCCACTCGTTACCTGTATTAATGGCACCTGTTTGAACTTGTTATCAGTATAAAAGACACCTGTCCACAACCTCAAACAGTCACACTCCAAACTCCACTATGGCCAAGACCAAAGAGCTGTCAAAGGACACCAGAAACAAAATTGTAGACCTGCACCAGGCTGGGAAGACTGAATCTGCAATAGGTATGCAGCTTGGTTTGAAGAAATCAACTGTGGGAGCAATTATTAGGAAATGGAAGACATACAAGACCACTGATAATCTCCCTCGATCTGGGGCTCCACGCAAGATCTCACCCCGTGGGGTCAAAATGATCACAAGAACGGTGAGCAAAAATCCCAGAACCACATGGGGGGACCTAGTGAATGACCTGCAGAGAGCTGGGACCAAAGTAAC